CAGCTTCTCGAAGCACGTCGAGCCCAAGGACGAGCTCTTCTGCTGAGACATCACCAGATGAGACACCAGGAGCTTCGGGCTTCCGTGCGCGGATACGGAAATCTCCGGTTTACTGACTGAAGCTCCATCAGCAGCGGCCAGCGGTGAGATCCCGAGCCCTTTACCGGCGCTGGAGTCCGGCTGCTCGCACAGGGTTCTGTCGCCTACGAAAGACGGCGGAGTTGAGCAGCACAGATTGGGCTGCGAGGACGAGAAGACCCGGTCCAGGACCTGTTTCTTCTTTCTTTTGAACATCCACAACCCGCTTTCTTTTTTACCATCCCCGCTGCGTCGTTCGGACCCCAGTTTGGGGCTCAAAAATGGTTTGGTCTTCTCTTGGAAATTCCTCCACATCCTTCTCTGGTAGGACGCTGATTGCGGGTCTTTGGCGCTCTCATCTTTGTGTTTCTCCTCCATGGTTCCCGTCCAGCAGCAGCAGCGGCAGCAGGCTGTCAGCGCGCAGAGCGCCAGTAACACTGAAGCGCGCGGGCGAGCGCACAGGAGCGCGTGCTCTCGATCGCAAATGACGGTTGGGCACTTACAACACATTCACTTTATCTGGTGATGCTGCTGCTAGTGACATTATTCAGAGGGTCTTTCACGGCACATTAACCTTAAAGTCTAAACTAAAACCTATTACCGGACCAGTTGTTTTCATTTCATAAAATAGCTCTATAGAAGAAAACATGAGGTAAAAATCAGAAGAATAACAAACAACAAGGGTTACCTGTGAAATAAACGTGACTGTGCATCTGATTCACTCTTTAATGACTTAATGACCTGACAGTATCCTAAGAAATAGCCAGTACAAGAATACATAATTGCAGATACGCCTCCCTCTGGTGAAAGTCAGTAATTATAAGGAATTTGGTGAGTGTATATTTTACAGGACAGGTCAACGTATGTCATTATATTACATAATGTTAATACAAGCCATTTGAGCTATTAAATGTTGTTGTTTGTTACAATAAAAAGTGCTGATAAGAATACAGGTGGCAGTGGCACACCGGAAAGACACATTAGAGATAAGCAGATAAGCAAAACTGACTCAACAGAAGTAGGGGAGCGCAGGGCACAGAGTAACGCGGGGTAAATTGTAACACACGTGGTTTGAATATTTCCACACATGCTAGCATAAC